ACAGTAAAAACTCTGATACTTCAAAATGGTTCTCCTTTTTATAAAACAATCGCATTTGTGGTTAGTATATTTCAGGACGAATGGTTAAGGATTGAGCCAGAGCTTGTGTGAGCAGATCCAATTTTTGGCTGCAAATGTCAGTTATGCGGTTTTGTACTTTAAACGACGATGTGCTGGTATGTATCAATAAAACTTGGAATTAGATTTCGTACAATACCAAATTCTACATGAATGCAAAAATGTTAAGTTGAGATTGCAAATCGATTTAAAGGTATGAAAACAGCATTGCTAAAGAAAGACAAAATGTTCTTTTTTAGGGTCTGAAGACAGTCAGTGCTTACTCGCGCCTAGTAAATGAAAAATTAACACTAAGAATCGGCAATGGACACCTAGTACCTATTTACCTGAAATCTGACATTAAAAATTGCAATTAATAACTAATAAATAACTTATGCTGCCTCGGCCACCACTTTTTATTAATGTTTTTATTTGCCTACAGAAAATTTGATTCCTGCAGACCACATATATGCTAGTACCTGAAATCTGGCATTCAAAAACTGGCTACTAATAACTAACAACTTAAATATGCGGCTTTGGCAACTTATTTATTCATTTTTCCACAGAAAATTTTATTCTTACAGACTATGTATTAGTTTCAAACAAAATTCTACATTGCATTATATCTTCTTCTTTTTCTCTTATTTGGCGCTACAACTATTTTTCAGTTTTGGGCCGAGACCAAAAAGCTTCTCCAATCTCCTCTCTCATGAGCGAAAAGCACCCAAAGTCTTCTCATCTGTATTCATCCTCGTCCACGCTGCTGCGCCATATAGAATAACAGGCATGACGAAAGACTTGTAGAGCTTGATTTTTGTTCTTCGTTTGAGTGCCATGCAAAGAGTTGCTTCTTTTCTAAGCTACGAGAGTTAGTCGCGCCTTGTTTGAAACCTCGTTTGGTCTCAAACGACGCGGGGTGGTCCTTCCCAATATGAACAGGGCTGAAGATTGTGCTCAACATCGCCCTACATAGCCGTATTAGTTTTGCGGGTATCCAAAATTTAGACATAGCGTCGTACAGGCAACTTCTCTTCGTTCTATCAAAAGCGGCTTTAAAATCGACAAAAAGTGAAGAATTTGATGCGCTGCGAAAATGGTGGACTTACCATGACAGATGCCACACTTATAGGCGATAGTTGACGCAAGCGGCCGGACCCCCCTTCTTTTGGATTTTACAAAGTGTTGCATGTGCACATATCGACGGTTCTCTGCAATAGCGACATAACTCAAAATAAAATATAAAGGATTACTAAAAACAACCTAGCGGTAGACCAAGGAAGTGTGCAGCCTCGACAGGGTCGTCAGTAGGGTGGGGTTCAGTGGGCATGCGAAGATATGCTGTGAGTCATGAGGCGTCTCTCCGCATGCCGGGAATTCATTTGGAACATCTTCATTTATTCTGATCAGGTATGAGTTCAACCTACTGCAGTAACCAGAGTCAGTTGGGCCATTGTGTCCGAGTCTCCCGAGGCAAAGGAAGGTGGCTTCCAACTAGAAACTGCTTGCAGAGCATTGTGTTATGCTTCTTAACGGGAGGCATAAGGGCCTCGTCGTACAGGTGATGTTTCGGCGACATCAAAAGGCGTCCTATCGCTGTTCTGAGTGCCGTGTTTTGGCAAGTCTGCAGCTTCAGCCACTACGTCCTACTAGTCCCCGGTAACCACACGGGCGCTGCATAGTTCAGAACCGACCGTCCAACTGCCTTGTACATTGACAGCAGCGTTTCTTTATCTTTGCCCCAGGTGCTGCCGGCTAGCGACTTAAGGAACTTGTTGCGGCTTTGTACTTTGTTGACAATTTCAGCTGTATGCGGCGAGATGGGGAGAAGACTTTTGAAGGTTACTCCGAGGATCTTCGGGTTGTTCACCGCCGGAATTAGTTCGTCGTCGACGTGAATTCCCAGTTGTAGTCTAAGGATTTTATAGGGGAGAGGAGGGGCTCCGTTTAGTGAAGAAGCGATTAAGCTCGGCGAGATAACCGTTTACTTTCGAGCACAATTTCATCAATTTCATTCGCAGACGCCATGATCGAACAATCGTCAGTATAAGAGACCATCGAGGCTCCCTCTGGTGGTTGAGGGAGCTTTGAAATAAAAAAGTTAAACAGTAATGGAGAAAGGACACCACCCTGGGGAACCCCCTGTTTTATTTTCCTCCCTCCAGTTACTACATAGTCCTGCTCGTAGTCGAATTCGTGGCAAGTCTTATATCTATCACTTCTTTCCTAACCCTGTTGCGGGTCGTTAGCTGATTGCCTTTGAATTTAAAAATATTAAATCAAATATAGTTTTACGCCTTGTGTTAGAATCGGAAAGTCCCAAAAGGCGTTTGCGTGGCATCCTATTATCAGATGCAAAATCTTACGTCCAGGCGTGCTTACCACTTAACGCACTGAAGCTTAAACCTTTCTTTTTTTAAGCTTGGTCTAATATTTTTTCAGTACAAAATAACCGATAGTTCTTCCTTCTTAGTTTTTCGAGACCTTTGTCGGGACCTTTTGTGACTGTTCGTGGGTGTTTTTTTTTTCTTTTTTTCCGGGATTTAATGATATTAGTTAGGCATTTCTTCGGGATTATTTGCAACTCAAAATTTTTTTAGTCTTTTCCTGAACGTCGAAGTCAAAAAGTACATTTCCGTCCCTAAATAATGAAAAACAAAAATTTTCTGCTCAAGAAACACTGGCATTGGTTCTGTTAGAGAAATTATTTGTCGCTATTTAAAGTTCTTTGATTCCACTAAAAGTAAAAGTTTAAATAAAATGCCTCTGATTTATTTGCTCTCCTACCAGCCTTGATAATTTCATTTAGACTTGTGAACACCACTTCCCACACATCAGAACAATTTAGCCGTCTATTTTTTGTGTGCGTGTCATTGCGTGTATCTGCGGTTGGTTGGACTGTATATTTTGTTTTATTTTTCTCTCCTGTTGTACTAAATACACGTTTATTTTCAAATACCCAAAAACAAATTTAATTTACCAGCGTTGGACCATAAACTGCAATAGTTGAAATATTTTGCACATGTGTGTGAGTGTGAGTGTGCGAAAAATATGTACCTTAGTGTTTAGGCCAACATATCAACTGCAGCCAAACTAAATTTTAGTGTATATTATTCTCTGGCGAACACCAGTGCTAAGGGATGTACATACATACATATCTACACTAGGCGATAAATGAACGTGTACAACATGTTTTAATATATACAAAATACCGTGCGACAAAAACAAAAGAAATTCGAAACACATGAAGCAATATAGTAAAACGGCGTTTTTAGTTGTTCTCTCTGACGTCAGATTTTTTTCGAAAAAGATATGATTAATTTTAAAAATTATTTAAAAATTTGATTCCCATGTATATAGAAAAACAATATGGGCACCATGTGGATAGGACATTTTCAATATTCTACAGAATTTTCTCTTTAATTTGATAGCCATACTGTTTTTATACATGGCACTGAGTTTTTTTTTTGATAATTTTTTAAAGTAATTATACATATTTTTAAAATTTCAAAGTGCTTAAAAAAATCCTTACGTAAGACAGAAATACTAAAACTGCTATATTTGGCTCATAGTTTCGCAAATTAAAAAAAAAAATTTTGTGTGTAAAATTTACTGTCACATGGTGTAATATTTACAATTCGAACTTAGCTCAGTGGGTAGCTACACCACTGGCTTTGGACGTTGGGGTCATTGGATTAAATCCCTGTGAAAAATTCTGATGAGAAGATGTGAAGATTAATAGCTATAGAAGTTATAGCTAAAAAAATAGCAAAATGTAAATTGTGGTTTTTTCCACAAAATTTAAAAAAAAAATCGGCATCAAGCTCAATAAAATTATTGAATATTATTCAGATCTATAAAATTTTCTAGTATGCAGTTTTGCAGCCCATTAAATGTTTGACCTTTTTTTTAGCCACGGATTTTTGCACTTTTTTCCATATAAGCATGAATTTCTTATGAAATAAAATGCGCGAGACCGTTGGCAACAAAATTGCACTTGTTATATAAAAAAAAAAAACGCAAAAGCAGTCTCGAAAAAAAAAATCCAAAAATCAACGAGATTTTTTAGCTGTGTAAAACTTGCACTTCGTTAGACTAAAATTTAATGGGCTGCAAAATTTGCTAGAAATTATGAATAAAAAGTGGAAAATTTTGATGAAAATTTCTTGAACTTTTGATATCTTACTAAATATAAAGTGTGAAAATTTTATTTATATTGTTTATATTATAGAATGAACATTATTTTCATAAATACTTAATGCAAAAAATTTTTCATTAAAATAAATGTGAGTATTATACTAGGTGTACACTTTCATTTGACGCCTAGCGTATGTAAGTCAGCAGTGACACAAATGGCACTGTTTATATGTACGCATATAGATGTTGTAGGAGCGTGTCAATGTAGGTGTGCACAATTTGCTATGGGTCTGCTTTGCCTCTGAATGAGCTGCTTAACCAAATGAGCTTAGGTACTTTATGGTTGGCCAGTTAAAATTCGGGTTTTCTCATTTGCTCTAGTTATATCATTTGCTGTTTATGTACAAATGTATGTATGTATGTATGCATGTATGTTTGACCGTCCTTGCCGGCATACACGCATATGCTCTTATAGTTTACTCGCTATAAATGGAACTGCTTGCTGTTGCGTTGCCATCCAAATTAAAGCTCACATGCAAATCCTTAATTCAGCATAAAAGTAGTTAAGCACCAGAATTTGCTAACTGGGCTGCGAGCATTTGTAAAAGACTTTGTATAATCGTAGCTAATGCTTTACGTAATTCAGACATCTACACTTAAATTTGCAATTAGTAATAATTTGGTTGCAAATGAGTGGAAGGAAAAAGAAATAATTTAATTTTTTTTTCTTTTTCTATGAAAACTATTTATTTTTGGTTAATCTAACTCGAATATCTTTTGAGTGCTTAATTTTATCTTTTCTTTTGCAGAGTCATGAAATTACAAATTTGGAGACCTATACACAGTACAAAGTAACCGTGCAAGTTTTCAATCCTGAAGGCTTGGGTCCCGAGACCACCATACTGGTTATGACCGATGAAGGAGGTGAGTTAAAAATTTTATATTTTAGAATTAACTACACTGTAAACTATATTGGCAAAATCTAAACTGACTTATATTCGCGGCTATGAAATGGAAAAATGTTTAATGAGTGATTCTAATGCAGTGTGAAAATACTTTGCATGCATCTGTTGGCTTTATTAAAAGCAACTAATGTTCGTACTGCTTAGAGAAGATAACTTCGTTACGATGTTACCTAACAGCGTTTTACTCTTGTTACTAGTTAGCTAAACTCTTCCTTTCCTCTTCCTAAACCTTTTGTGGGGTTTTACCATCAACGCGCGAAAAGATTTAATCACCCATGAAATTGTAGCTAACCGCCTGCATGCCATGAAAAGAGATGTTCATTTGAAAGTTGTTCATTTTCCTATCTAAGTTTTCTGCTGTTAACGTCGACCTTCCCAGTGAGCCTCGCTCTTCTTCAGCTACAACCATCGGCTTCGAAGATTAACACTTTCAGAGCTAGTGCGGAGTTGGGGTATTTTAATTTCCTATACTATATCCATGCCATTGTTAGCGTCAGCGTCGCCAATGCATAAATGCCCATAAATCTTCAGGAAAATCTTTCTCTCGAATCCTGAGAGACCCGCCTGATTGGATCTGAAAAGATCAGGATATAAATCCTGAATTGCTGACTCACTCCAAAGTAGCACTTGTTTTAAGAAGGATTCTGCATTGGCTGCAACAGGAAGGTGGTCCGATTTGTTTTTTTTTTTTGGCTCTCTGAGTGTACGTACTTCTAAAACACTGGAAGCGTACCTTCCGTCTATCGCAGCATGATCGACTTGGTTATTCGTTTTTCAATCTAGAGACAGCCATGTATCTCGGTGGCTCTTTTAATGGATGCAGGATTTTTATGTCGTGATGGTGACAGCGCTCTTAAAGATGTGTTCTCAGAGCGCTGTTAAAAAAGATCCTTGGATACTTCGTGCTTCTCTTCCGTCTTGGCGTAGGCGCATATTAATGACCCTAGCCAGGCAGAGACACTTTCGCCATTAAGAGTTCAGGCATTTGAGGTGCATGCTCTCAAATCATAGTCCTTTACCAGTTTGCCATGATCGTCATCACAACGGGGGCCTTATCCGAGGCTTTAGTTTTATTTTTCACTGGAAAAGGAAATTTCTTATTCGAATACACATTTATGTCGCGAGCCGCTTGAAGTTGCACCTACTGGTGAACAGACGTTGTACATTTCAGTGTGCCCTTAAAACGAATAAGGCGGAGCGGCACCACCAAGGCTTCCTTTCTTTCTGTCGTGAGCTAAGACTCCACTCGGATTGGATACCCCATCTCGCATATGTTGCCCAGAGTACACGAACGTGGACGCCAGAGTCGGGATTCAGTGTAGCCAAGCAACTGTAACTGCATACCTAGAATATCGGCTATACTCCCTTTGCATTACAAACGAGGTCACTAAAAAGGCCTTAGACTACATATATAATAAAAGAAACTACTTTAAGCTGAATTAACACTGGAGGCTGGAAAATTTTCACCAGTTGCCTATACTAATCGGTGTATAAATTTCACTTTGTTAACAAGCTATTTAATTAAAGTTTAATAGTCTGTTCGATTGGTCAACTACTTTTAAAAACTTGAAATATCAAACAGATAAGACTATAACTTTATACAAAACTCTTTTACCTGATATGTTGTCGATAACAGCTGAAGGGGTACAACCAGCAAGTGCACAGTTCAAGGCTGACAGTAGCGACTTTCAGCGTAAATAAACTTTCAATGTCAAACGAAATGAATGAGAAAAGTTACTTATGCACACTAATGTATCACTATGTACCTTTACCTGCGGATGCAAACAAATGTATGTACTAACATACGTACACTGGGCGACAAATGAGAGTGTACCCCTTTTGCTCTAATATAATATTGACAATTATTTTCATGAAAAATATGTCGAAATATTTTTATATTTTTTTTGTGTATGTTACCGCATTACTTTGGACCACGTAAACAGATTTCTATATGTTTTTTTTTTCTTCTGAATAAAATTTGTCGTCTTTAAAAATTTTGTGCTGGCACTTCTTGCTTCCCGAACTTCATTTATACCAAGCTTACCGCAGAATTTGCCAAAAATAAACATTTCAAAAACATTTGTCAAAGCCATTATTCAAGCCATGTTTACGCAGAAACATAATGTCAAAATAAGCAAACAACACATGCATGCATGTATGTATGTATATACATATGTGCAATGCATAGAAAATAAAGTACAGCAGCCAGGGATGCCAACTCTGTTACCAAATTCCTGAAAAAAATGCCCTATTTGAATTGGTATTACCCCAAAATAACTTTTACTCTTTAAGGCACTTCATTCTTATTTTACTTAAGAAAAAAAACATAATTAGGATAGTATTTTTTTACAATATATATATAACTAATACATCTGAGTAGATTTCGTAAAGCCACATCTATCACACATATATGATCAGATTTTCGCAAAAATGCTTTAAAAAGCATACTGTATTCAAAAGACGCATAACTCATAAAAATCTGTCAGTTTTTTGCATAAATCAATTCGTTGGAATTTTCTCAAATTTATGCAAATATGTTTTTCTTCATGATTATTCTCTAACTATAATACTACTGTTATGCCATTTTTGAGTAATATATCCGGAACTGATATATTGATAAATACTTACTTTTGTTAGACTACTCAAAACTTTGCCAGACGTTAGCTTGGCTTTGAAAATGAAATGAGAAATGATAGTATCAAATAAAAAGGTCAAGTAAAAAGTGTTGTTATGCACGGTTGCATGACGCAATTATGTTATGTTTTAAATCCATAACAACGTAATGAGAGATTGTTATTACAAGTTTTAATTTTATTCTCAATAGGTATGTTCAAATAAAAGTCATTTAAATATTGCGCATTCCCCCTAAATTTAAAGCCATTCCCCGATTGCCCCGAAAAATTCAAATTCCACCAAAATCGGGAATTCTCCCTCGGTTGGCATCACTGCCAACAGCATTTCTAAGAAACAAAAACAGTCTAACTCTCTTAATCTCACTCACTCTCCTGTAGCGTTGCTAAGTATTATTTACCACGAGACATGTTCTTTGACCGCCCCATTTGTCTGCTTTAAGTACAGAAACAAATGTACACAGCACCCTTTGAACTTCATAAGAAAGTTGCAGTGGCGCGTTTTGAACCAATACGGACCTATACATTCACATATATGCATCAGGGTTGTTGCGAATATTTACATTCGCATTCGTTACGCGAATGATTCGCATCATTTTACTCGCATCATTTTATTCGCATCGACATTCGCATTCGTATTAAATGATACGCATATTTTACGAATGCGAATGTGTAAGGCGCGAAGTTAGCGACCAATATGCACACAATCGCAGCGTAAGGCACATAAATATATATTCGAATATTCGCATACCAAAAATTCGCATTCGCATTCGTGCATTTGAAAAATAGTACATTCGAAACATGCCTAATGCACATATTTACTTCAATATTTCGCCTTTAGAACTGCACAGCAAAATAAAGCCAACTTAAAAAGTCAGCGTATAAGAATGCTAAGGGTTTGAAGAATCCTTTTTAATGCTTAATGTAGCTGCCTGGTAGGCCTAAAATAAAATACACAACAACAATGCACACAAAAACTTATAAGCCAAAAAGTTAAAAACAGTTCCAGTCTACACTTTGCAATCAGCCGAAGAATAGGTAAAACACCTTTGGCAACTAACTACCGTTAGAGAAATAACAAAAGGTTATGCGGAATAGAGAAAGCTTATGCTTAGCAACGAAGAAGAAGCAAAATAAGGAGTTAGTAAAAGCAGTGGTATGATATGTAGAAAACCGAAGGGGGTAATAGACGTAGTAAAATGTCGGCGGTTTGAGTTGCACTCACATTAGTTGCTATGTGTAATAAGAGTACCCAATAAGCGACCCCAGTTGCTTAAGCAAAAACACATACAGCACACAAACAAAGACTTTATTTGTGTTAAAAAAGAAAAGAAAAACAATAACGAAAAATCTGTCAATGTTGACTTTTATTTCATAAAGTAAACTTATTTGCCCCCGCTGCTCAACCTCGCCAGGTTACAGCTTAGGCAAAGTTAAAGTACAAAAGCATATTACTTTCAAGTTGAAAAGGCATAACTTCTCGTCTGGCCTCGCCGACACTACTACCACAATGCGAGTATGATTTTCATATTTATTTTTTTTTTTTGTTGTTTTCTCCTGTATTTCAAGCATTGATTTCATTTCGAAGCTTTATGATTTCCTCGCGTTGCCATATTTGTTGACTAAATAGACATTGTATTTTTTCATACTTCCCTGTGTACATATTTAGTACTTGTACTCATACTTGGTATCAGCATTGTATGTAGTTCTCTTTTCTATACTTTCTCTGATTTCACAAAGACCTCCTCCACTTCATACACCATACAACATATCGTTGGTTATTGTTGCATTATTTCACTATAATACACGCCACAGGCACTCACCGCATTAATGTGTGCCTTTGTGGCAAGTAGTCGTAGTACATTGAGGCATGAAGGTCTTTGCCATGCCACCGTGGAAATATGTGGCAATAAATAACTGTTGACATGCTTGCCACAATAGTGTAACACGATTTTTTTGTTTTTTGTTTTTTTTAGAAAACTGTTTTTGTTTTTTTTTTCCACACCACCTGCCACAGTTGCCGCAGGTTGAATGTATTAATTTCAGTTGGCGGCCTGCTTAGACCAAGGACTACGACTCTGGCTGTTTTGCGCTTATTAGGAATTTGAGTAAAAATAATAAAAAAAAGTGCACTAACATGGTTCAATAAATGTATGCTGGTTGCACTGGCATTAGCTTTTTGATATTTTATGTACATACGTCTATTCTAACAGTTCTTGAATGGTTTCAAAACTCATATACATATATGTCTCAGCGGGAGTGTAACAAAGGATTAGCCGAAATCCAAGTAATGCAAACCCTGCGCTGGGATTTCAAACTGCAGAGAATA